CGAAGTGGAAAGTGATCCAGACTACCTTAACCTAAAATCATAGCTGTTAGTTTCAGATTAAGAAATGGGTCTTTAAAAAAAAAAAAAAAAAAAAAAAAAGGAACTGTACCTTTATCACGAACTCCAACAGCCTGTCTTCCCCTTCCACAAAAAAATACACTCACAAGCCAGGTGGTGACACACACTGAGAATCAAAGCACTCTGGGAGGCCGAGGCAGAAGGATCACAAACTGAAGCGCTGCCATGCAACTTAGCGACTGAGCTAGACACTCTTCAAAAGAAGCTCGGTGTACCCAAGCTGGGTTCAGTTCTCAACAGCACAAAAAAGTAAAACGCTCAAGAGAAAGAAAAAAACCAAACACCTATGTATCCGTTTTCTTTTCTAAGGTTTCCTGGCAGGAATTACAGGGTTATGGTCAGCAAACAGAACTACCGCCACACTCTGCACTGTCAGGTAGGGCGTCCGCTAGCCCCATGCTATGGAGAACACAAATACACTTCCTGCAGCTGATACAACAGAACCCTGACTTTTCAGCTCATTCAACTAAATACACAGGGCCGGGGATATAGCCCAGCAGCACAGTGTACACCTGGCAAGTATGAGGTCATGAGCTGCAATTCCCAATACCAAAAAATAAACTTTTAAAAAGCCTAAATATATATGGGTGGCTTAGTGTCCACCACATCCAAAAGGCAAAGCTATAAAAGCACTTTGCTACCTAGTGTGGGCGACAGGCTGTGATAGCACCGAGACGCACCTTTATCATGCACAGATGTCTATCAACAAGCTTGACAGAAGTCCCGTGTGTGTGTGTGTGTGTGTGTGTGTGTGTGTGTGTGTGCGCGTGTGTGTGTGAAATTCACCGATCTTTCTCCTCTAACTGGGAAAGCCCATGTGAGACAGATGGGAAGGCCAAGTAACACCTAGGTTAAGAGCTGCGCTTTGGGACTATGGCAGTCTTCCATCCACTACCCACTGGCACTTGGCATGACTTAACATCATCACCTTGGGCACCAGAAACCTTAGGGTGCTGGCTGCAGGATGCAAGGAGTCCCAGGCCCCAGCCCAGGGCACTAACTAAGCCTCTCTAACTGCTGGAAGCACAGCATTCAGAGACAATTACTCTGTTGGCTGCACAAGAACAACTATGACAATCTGCTGGAGGAACAAGCTTTACCTCCTCAAACACTTCTGATGCTTTCTTCTCGGTTCTTGCACAACCTAATAAGCACCATTAGACAAGTTCTCTTTTTTATTTTTACACCAGATGAGGTTCAGAAAAAACTCATAAGTTCAAGGTCAAACAGCTGGAGGTTGTCAGGGTGGGTCACGTCTGATTCACCAAGCATCAACATTTACCAGTCACTTCGAAGACAACCTCTGGTCATGCCTATGGGGGCCACAGCTCCAGGAGAAACCCTCCTCACCATTCACAAGGCCACCATCCATGTGCAACTACGGAGACTCCGAAAGCCACAAGCGGGATTCGGAATGTTCCATGACTCCAGGCCCTCGCAGCACACAGAACAGTGTCTGGATACAGGGGTCAAAGTAAACTCTCGGGGGTAGTGCCAAGCCAAAGGCTTGGAGCACACACCGCCCAGTGCGTGAAATCTGGAGGAGGAACCATCACAATTCCTGGACCAACCCCAGCCCAACACAACCGCAGGAAGACCCAGCACCTAAGATTTGGGGGCACACCCTCATGTTGGTGAGCCAGCCATCTGTGGTCTACAGCCATGTATGGCCCCGAGTCCCCTCTTTCAAGGCAGCTCACTTTGCCTTGGGAACCCCACTCCCCTGGCACCTCCCCCAGGACTTGGTGCCCAGCACTGTCCAGTGAATATGTGCCAACCCGCTATAAAGAGGGAAAGTACCTTCTTACTGAGACGCTGTAGTGTAGAATGAGTGACACTGGTTGTCACCAATGGGAAATCTCCAGATTTGGAAAGATTCACTTCTGAGCAGGTCCACAGTAGAGGGATCCCTCCACCAAACCCTCCACTGTTTGATGGTACAGGCAAAACAAACTTCTCTGCCCAGTAAGGCAGCCACACGCCCGGCGTGGGGGATGGGCCAGCGGGCAGTAGGACATCCCAACTTTCCCTTCAGGGTCCCACAGGTGTGCACCTCTGATTAAAGCCTAGAGTCGCCTTAGGATGACATTTTAACAAGTGGCCCAAGTGACTCACTTACACTTGGATGCTCTCCTTAATTACCATGCTGGGTGGCTTCCCACCAAACCTTGCAGCACATCCGAGCCACAAAACCCCTTTAAAATAAAAGCCTTCGTCTTAGCCGCTTAACTGTACCATATTCAACTTCTCTTTAACTTTTTTCCTAATAGTGCCTCTTCCAGCAATGCCTCCTAAACTTTCCTAAAATCATCAAGGACTCTTTGAGACTCTAGACCCCACGCCTGAGCCTTAGCAGAGCGGGGCCTCCGCCTCCCCCGGCCTCCAGGTTAAGCGAAAGTTTCATTCCGGTAGTCCCGGGACCGCGCATCGCCAAGAAACCCGCGCAAGTCAGGTCCCAGCCCAAGTGGGGGTGGGGCGAGGTGGGTTTTCTTAGGATTTGCCCGGCAGCACTTGCAACTCTAGGAGCCACGCGGGCGACCGTAACTTCGCGGAATTTTCACCGCAGTTGGCTCCAGGCCGCTGCAGGAGCCAGCGTGGGCCCCAGGCCTGACCACACACCCGCGACGCACGTGAATCCGGGCCCAAGCCGGGCGCTGGAGAGCCTGCGGCGACCCAAAGTTGTCAGTCCCCCCCATCCCGCCCCAGGACCCCCAATTTCCTTCCAAGGCGCACGCACTCAACGTATCCAGGGTCAGGGAACCCCACCAGCACCACGCGAAACAGGGAGGGGACCGGGGGTCTGGGGGTGCCCCACCCCCAGCCCAGAGCAACAGGTCAGCGCCCTAACTCCCCAGGCCGCAACCCCACCCCACCAGACCAGGGGCGCCTCCCCCTCCCGGGCGTCCTCTGCTGAGTGAGATCCCGAGCCCCGGCAGGGGTGGGGGCAGGGAAGGGGTCCCGACTTGCTTGACAGTTTCGGCGCTTGCCTGAACCTGGGAAACCCGGCAGACGCGGGTCCTGCACCCTACGGGGATGAATGGGCTCCCCTCCCCCATGGGGATCCCGCCACCTTCTGCTCGGGCTCCGGTCCGCACAGGCTGCCCAGACGGCCTCAGGAACAGCAGACAAAGGGGCTCCTAGGAAGGAACCCAGCGCCTCCTCAAACTTGCCGGGCGCCCCCCGGCCGGTCCCCAAACAAAGGCGCTTCCTCCGGCCTCCTCGCACCCCGACGCGGCGACACTTTGGGGAGCGGCCGCCCGGGGTGCTGTTGGGCTCGGGGGAGCGCGCTCACCCCCGCCCCGGCGCCCGGGGGATCCTCGGGGAGCAGCCAGGAGTGCTGGCCGCTGTCGACCCTCTGAGCGCGCGAGAAGTTTGCGTCCCGCCACCCGCCGCGCCCGCACTCACCCCGCCGCCGCCGCCGCCGGCCGCGCAACTTGGGGCCGCGCTCGCTCCGCGCTGCCACCGCCACCGCCGCCGCCGCCACCGAGACCGGGCCGAGCACGGCCGCCGAAGGCTCGGCGCCCCGGAGCCGCCGCCGCCGAGTCCCGAGAGGGCGCGGGCGATGCAAAGTTTCCTAGCCGAATGGCGGCCGGGGCGCGCGGCGGCGGCGGCGGCGGCAGCGGCGGTGGCGGCGAGGCGGGGTGGGGGCGCTGGCGGGGCCGAGCTCCGGAGCGCGGGGGGGGGGGGTGCGGGGGGCGGGGCGGCCGTGCGGGCAGTGGTGACCTCCGGGAAGCGGCAGCCGACGCGCAGACCCCGACCCGGGGACTCCCCTCCCAGCACCCGAGTCCCGGTTCCCTGCGCCCTGGTGGGGGGCCGCGTCCCTGCCCAGCAGCCCCTCCCCGATGCAGTCCAGGACCTTCTGGACACGACCCGTGTGCAGACCCGGTCGGGGCGGGAGGGCTCTGTGTGTGTGTGTGTGTGTGTGTGTGTGTGTGTAGAATTCTCCACCCCAAGCTTAGGCTGGGCCTCCCTCCCCCTCAGCGCTCGGATCCCTGGCCCGCACTGGGGTGGGGAACCCGGGCCTGCCCCCTACATACACACACACCCAGCGCCAAACTCCGCCGGTGCACTCTTTTCTGGAGGGGAAGGGGACCTAGGCCACCTCGACGGTTTCCAAAGTAAAGTGGGGGGAAGGGTAAAGCGCTTCCAAAGTATTACCCTCCTCCACTTTAAATAGGCAGCCGCCCAAGGCACTGAGCGTGCATCTTCCACAAAAGTGGCGGTTTAGAGACGCCCCAAGGGTCCTTAACCCATCCCCCAAAGTGGGGGCTCACCCTGAGCCTTGACAGTTGCGACAGGCAGAAACACAGGGGGCGGGGCGGCTAAGAAACACACGGGTGGACCCCAAGCTCGGAGGTAAGAGCTCAGGACGAGCAAGTTGGGGGTCCCAGGCTGGGGGACCTCCACACCCTCAGCCCCTCTCTCAGGCCTCCGACCGCGGAGCTTGGCAAAGTGTTTCAACGCTGCACAGGCTTGCAGGGCCCAGCCCTGGGGCTCCGGAGTCCCAGCGCTCCGGCCTTCCCTCCCGTGGGGGACGGCTGCCCCCCTCCCCGCCTTCATTCAGCTCAACACACACCCTCTTCCCCTCCCCAGCACCTTTGGTGTCTACCTCGTTGGGTATTTTTTCCATGAGTTTACCCTTTGGTATCTAACGAGCGCTATGCTAGGAGCCCGGTACACTCGGCAATTTAAACTCTAACCTCACTTGCTCTTGCCTCGCACACTAGACCGTTTGTTGTTCTGCTGGTTGGCGGGAGGAGGGGAGAGAACCGTGGTTAGTTTTTAAGGGGCCCGATCCTCCCCATCAAAAAGGCGGACAAAAAAAAAATTACCCTGCAAAATATTGCTGTAAAACGTCATTGATGTCAAACGACTGTTGCTACACCATTATTAGAGCACATCAAGAAAAAATACACACTTACACAGTCTCCATAATTGTGAATCAGCAGAACACATTGTGTCTTATTAAGTATCAGTTGCCATTCGAGACCCCCCAGAAGGACTTGGTGGGGCCGTCCCTTGAGCCTGCCCTCTGGTGCTCCCGGGCTCCCTGGGCTTGTGCAGGCTGAAGCTGAGGTATTACATGCAACAAACGAAGAGTGCAATAGAAAACCCGAACAGGCTCATGATGCAACCTGGCCCTGATTACACGTGCTTCCCCTCCCCCAGCGCCTGCTGGTGGGAGCGCGGCGTTTTTTCCGCCTGTAGGGTCACATTGTGGTTGATTGATTCTCATTTCGCCTTGCTCAGTCATTCAGATTTGGAAAGTAAATAACAAGTTGACATCATTATGGCTCTCGCTTTACCGGGACTTGGCCCTCGGCTACCGCACACTCCCGAGTAGTCGCGCACCACAAAACCAGCCGCCCTGCTATCATCAGCCACTTGGAAATTCCAACCTGAACTTCGTTCGGAAGCTTGTCTGTGCTTCTTGGTGATTTAGCAGACGTCAGATACCAAAGGCTAGCTGGGGAGAGCGATGGAAGGGCTCGCTCTGGAAGCAGGGCGAGAGTGACCCCGTTTCCAAGCACTGCCTGCAAGGAAAGCTTGGAATCCATCTTGCCTCTTTGGTGCTGGTCCCCAAATCCCAAAGGTGGTCTGGTCTATTGAAAGTTAAGACTTTTATCAAAAACCAGAGGACACCCCCAAGGGGAGGAACCCTCCCCCCTCCCCCCGTGTATCATAAAATCACCAAAAATCCTGTTCTTGAAATGTTGGCTGAGTTACCGGTATGTGGATGGTAAATTACACTATTGTATTTCATGTGTTTTAGCAGTTTCTCAGAGGTGCAGTCCTGTAGAAGGGAGAAAGCCAGGATATTAGAGGAGGAAGGAGCAGCGTGTTCTGCCTGGTGGAGGACAGATAGAGAAAAAGAGAGCAACGGTTTTCACAATACTCACTGCACCAGGTGTGCCTGCTTGTGTTCCTGTGTGTGTGTGGGGGGGGGTGGCTTGTTCATGCATGTGCGTGTGCAAGTGTGTAGGTAATGTTCCAAGCTGGAGGAAGGAAGGATCTGCTTGTGACAAGCACCCTTAGCAGTCCCCAAAACAGTGCTCAAAATCGAATTCAAAGGCAGTAGGAAAAAGACAAAAAAAAAAAAAAAAAAAAGGCAGTAGGACCCTTGCATAGTGATGCATTTGGGAAAAACAAAATTGTAGCAACAATGAAAAAAATCAGTGAAGAGAGAGAAATGAACTGCTTGAGCACAGGAGAGTGTTAGGGTGATGAAATTCCTCTGTATGTGTACTGTAGTGGTGGGTTTTACAGAATGGTTGGGTGTGGTGCCACACACCTATAACTCCAGCCCTATGGAGGCTGAGGCAGGAGGGTTACCTAAACTCACCAGTTCAATACTAGCCTGGGCAACATAGCAAGATCCTTCTCAAAAACACAAAAGAAGCCCAGCATGATGCCACAGACTTGCATGATGCCACAGACTTGCAATCCAAGCTCTCTGAGAGGCTAAGGCAGGAGGGTCACAAGTTCAAAGCCAGCATGTCTCAGAAAAAAGAAAAAAAAAAAAAAGATACCAAACCAACACAAAAAAACAGGCTGGAGATATCACTTACTAGGAAAGCCCTGACTTCAATCCTAAATACTGCAAAATAATAATAATAATATATACAACACAAAGATTGAGTCCTAATGTAAGCAATTGACCTTAGTTACTAATACCTAGTTGTAATGCTGTACCATACTAACTTAATATGTTAATAATACCAGAAGCTGGGGGTGGGGGAAGTCTGTAAGATACACTCAGTTGCTGTGTAAATCTAAAACTGTTTTTTAAAGTAGCCATGTTTTGTGTTGCACACCTGTAGTTTGAACTACTATTCAGAGAAAACCTAAAGCAAGCTCTCACTTGAGCCTGGGAATGCAAAGCCAGGCCAGACAACATAGTGAGATCCTGTCAAAAAGATTTTTAAAATTCTTCAAATACAGCATATCAATTTTAAAAAAAAAGGATAGTGGAAATAGAGGTTAAACTTCTCATGCAATTTAATGCCCTATTTTTGTTGGACTTAATATTTAATTTCCTGCAGGTCCATCTGATTTTCAAATATTTCTAGACATGGGGACCATTTACTTCTGACTGGTTAAGAAAGCCCTGGTCCTCCAAGAAGGGGCCCAAACTTCCAGGATCCATTTGTTAAATTAACATCTTAATGCTTACCACCTGACTGCTCAGTTTTACCAACTGACAGAGTTTACATGGGTGCCACCCTCTTTAGAGAGAAGCATGGGCTTTCTCTAGGTATTATGTGATATAACTATTATATCAACCAAAAGAAAGATAAGATAATACAAAGAGAGCTATAGGTGCAAGCAGAAAAGTCAAAGCAAAGTCTGAAATTATTCTAAAAGGCAGTGGTAACCACTACCTACAAGTTTAGGGGATACCAATAACGCAGTCATCAAGATAAATAATACAATGCCCTCTGTGTATGCATGTATAGTGCTGGGGATAAAACCCATGGCCTTGTGCAAGCCAGGCAAGCACAAATCCACATAATGCCACATTCTAAAATGCAAAATGAATGCCAAAACTTTACGGTGCATGAAAGATCATAATGTTAGGTAAAAACAGGACCTGGCCCTGCCTCTGTGACCTGGCCTTGCCCTACCGCATACAGCCTGTGATCTAGGATATGGGGGAGGGTTAGCTCACAGAGAAGCACCCTTCTCTGCCCTAGGGAGCTTTCTTTCTAGGACGGAGATCAGAAAACAGTGGTCCAGGGCCAAAGGCAGTCCAGGTCTCCCAGAGCCGATGTCTGGGGACACCAAGAAGCAACTGTATTTCCTCTCTGTACTGATCCAAGAGTTTGCTGACCTTGTTCTAGAAGATGAAATGACTTGTTAACTTCTTCCTTGGAAAGTTTGTGTGCATGTGTTTTGATTTCAGAATGAATTAAATGAAGGACTACTTTAAAATATGTTTAACAGAAAGGAGAGAAACGATAGTTAGAAAGAGACACCAAGTATTGGGAAGACCCTAGCTGGTAATGCTGCAGGGCTCTGGAAAGTTTTGTGGACATGCTCAGTGCTTGGGGCAGAGAGGGTTGGGGTCCCTGAAAACATGGGGCCAAATGAAATGGGCTTGAGAGGAACTGATGCTGCCAGCAAAGGAGTAACTAAATCACTAGGGAAAATACTAGATCAAAAGAACTTTATATATGTATATCTTTAATCTAGTACAGTTTTACAGTTCCCTAATCATCAGCCAACACTGTGTCACTGACAGCCATAGTAACATATGCAGGGATTGGGGAGAAATGATCCTTTTCCTACTCGCCTTGCAAAGAAGCAAGGTGGCCATATGGCTATCACAGTGGCACAGTCCCCCTGCAAGCGACTGGCGAACTCAGAGACTTCAGGGTGGGATTCCTTCCCTACCGCTGCCACAACATACTCAGTGGCTTGAAATAACATTTATTATCTGACAGTTCTGTGGGCAAAAGGTCCAAAGAGGTCTTTCGGGGTTTGATGGTTTTTTTTTTTTTTTTCAATATTAACAATTGAACCTAGGGCTTTCACACTGAGCTACTTTGACAGCTCATTTTACATTTTTAAAATTTTGAGACAGGATCTAAGTGGCTAAATTGCCCAGGCTGAGCTGAAAGTTGTGATTCTCCTGCCTCAGCCTCCCAGAGTGCTAGTATTACATGCCTGCACCACCTGACCTGGCTATTTTCATGTTTTAATGGACAGGGCCACAGGGTGCCTAGTCATCTGGGTAATCACTGCCTTCCCCAGTGCGGGCAGGTATCCCTCCCTCCATCTACCGCACAAGACAAAGAAGTGGGGGGAGCCTGATCTCGCCTTCCCGGTGCCTGACTCCTGGGGCTGGAACAGCACCCCCCCCCTGCCCTCAGCATTCCTGCTCTGAGTACTGCATACCTGGGCTGGAATCTTGCTATCAGCTCTTTCAACCGCCCCACCATGAATGACTCACCATCTGTGTCTATTTCTCTCTCTCTCCCTAGATCTCTCCCTAGATCTCCTGTTGTTTCTATTTCTCCAGAGAACTCTGGCAGGTCCCTTAGGCTAATATACAGGTTTTGCAGGACTATATTCCTTCCAGAGGTTCTGGGGGATGACTGGCCTTTCCCAAAGTCCCAGGCTGCCTCCTTCCTGCATCTTCAGCGGTGGCCACAGAAGGCCAAGTCTTCCTCAAGCATGTATTGTTCCTCTGCTGTTTCTCTTCTAATTTGAAAGTCTCATGTAACTAAGGTTATGAGCTATGTGCTTGGGTTTGAATGTAGCTTGCCCCCCTCTTCCCAAGAGTTAGCCCCCCCCCAGTTATATATTAATTGTAATTAAGAGGATGGAACCTTATTCTGCTATGGTGTTTAGAGGTGCAACCTTTGGAGAGTGATTAGGTTTAGGTAAATCTCATGGTACAGCCCCATCATTGAACCTGGCGTTTTTATAAGAAGTGACCAGAGGAACACACACACACACACACACACATACACACACACACACTCATATTCACACACTCCCACCATGACACAATGCAACCAGAGGGGCCCCTCAAAGCCTGTGCCATGCTTCTTGGACTTTCAGTCTCTAGAAACAAGTGCTATGTGAATCTCTTCTCTGTAAAGTAGCCCGCCTCAGGGAATTCATACTAGAACCAGAAGCTACCAGATACACTGTATCATCCAGTATAATCTCTCCAGGGAAAGCCTCTTCTCTTAAATCACATCTCTCAAGTTCCATTTGCCATAGTGACACCTTCACAGTTCCAAGGGATGAAGGTGGGACCTCCATAGAGGAACATTCAGCCTTGTACTGTAGCCGTAGAGAATGACTCTGTCTGAACATAGGGAAAGCAGACTCTAATGCGGCTCCTGAGATTCCAAACAACCATTCCCTTTCCATTACCTATCATGCTGCTTCTGAAGAGGTGCCTAATTTCAAGACCTCCTCTCACCAGCATCAGAAACAAACACACAGTAAACAGCTAGCCTTACTCAGACTGCACAGGGCAGGTAAGAGTTCCTCTGGTTTTTCTATAACACACGTGCTTCTGGTACGAAATAGCACGAAAGGATAATTTTCCAAGGCCACCCCCTGCCTGCTTCCCCAAGTTGCCTTGGGAGA